GATCTTTTTATAATCATCTTGGCACGTTGAAGTGCAGTGAAGAGAGTTTCAGAACTTTATCCGATAAAGTTATTCATTGCAGAGCTTTAATGTTGTAAACCATAAAAACACAGTTCCCGCCTAAATGTTCTGTATTCTGGTCAGGTGGCACTGCCGAGTGCCTTCCTATTCATACATTATTGTCACTGTATCTTTTTCATCAGACTTGCTGATTATACACATTTTGTATGGATTGTAAATAAAGAAAATATTTTAATAAAAAAAATAAAAAATGTTCATACTTTTTGACTTAATTGCTTAAAAATAGAAGATAATCTTGAAGAAGATATAAGACATTATAAGTTCACACGAGACGGATATAACGTTCTAATAATTATGGCTGTCATTATAATATGATGAAATAATTAAAAAGTTGTACCACAAAACTAATAACTGCAAATGGCGCCGAGAGTAACATCTCTTTGAACTTAAAAACCTCTCGAATGTCTTTGGGGCCACTAACTAAAAGTCTAAATCCTTTTCCGGTTAAAGTAGTTGCAAACAATTATTTCGAAATACAAGAAACACAAGCACAGTAGGTATTATCACAAAAGTGTACAACTTAGGGTATACAAAAGTAAAATTATCATCTCCATTTTTGAGAGCAACGAGTAGTGCCCAACACTTGAGGGGTCTTTGATGTCACCGGCCGTTTGTTCATTGAAATGCGTTATAATAGGGTCGACGTGTAATTATTATACGGGGTTGGAATATTATTATTATGCAAGCGTCTCTCCATAGTATTAAGTGTACAGGCAAGTTTATTATGGAACCCTTCGTTTGACACGGTTGCCTCCTCGAAAGCGGTACTGACGCGTCCCATTGGATCGGCCAAAGTCCTGTAATTAGATATTAATTTTAAGGGTGTTTTAGGGATTTCCTCGGTTTATCAGGGGAGGTGAGTAATATGATTGCGAAAATCGAGAGAAGGACGCGGGTCAGGAAAAAGTGGTGGATGGAAATACCACCGAAGGGGTAGAAAAAAGGGCGGTGGTGCTGAACGAGCCCGGGCCACCTGCTGCAGCTGTTATAACGTCATTAGCCATCTCCCATCACTATCGAACCTGTATTAAAACATATTACAAAACAAACGGACTAAATATACCCAAGCAAGATCTCTGCATTTCGCATCTGCAACGTTTAACAGAAATAGTCTTTAACGGATTTGAAATCCAAAAATATACAACAGCCTTGTTTCTCGATATAACTCAAGCGTTTGACAAGTCAAACATATATTTTACTTACATCACCGCAATCGTCCAATCTCTAACCGTTCTTTTCAAATCAGAACTGAAACGGATCTCTCGTAATCTCATCCAATAGCAGCTGACAATCTTCACTTTAAGAAGGCACATCATTCCCATAAGAATTCAAATCGAAAAGTAAGTTTGATAACCTGTCAACAAGACAAGAGAAGATGTTATGTCTCAAGTTAGGTTAGGTTATGTTTAACTCTAAACTTGGCGGAAATAAAAAATGTAAACGAAAATTCCAAACCATAATTTTTTTAACTAATTAAAACCCATTGAATGCATTTTTGACGTTGTTTGTGTTTTAATAAACAGTTTTTTAACTATAGCATGTATCTTTAAAGATACACTGCCACGTTGAGTTAATTTGATATTTGTATCTTTAAAAATACACTGTGTTATATACCTATTAAGATAAAAAAAAAAAAAAAATTAAACAGTTTTAAATAGTATTTCATTATTTACGTGGAATAGGTATTAATCTTTAAAGTATGTTTATTTGTATTAATCAAGAAAATATGTTTTTAGGACATTTAAAAAAAAAAAAATAAGTTAAAAATGCATCTGCAATTAAAAAATAGTTTTTTTTATTTATCGTAATAAAATAATAAATATCTATTAGAACAAAACAATTCAAATATATCGCATTATTTAGTTTATATTTATAAAATTTTAAGTATTTTAAGCACTATTAGGCTATGTGTATTTTTGGATACAAACAATAATTCTGGTGTACGAAACATAGTATCTTTTAGGATTCATGAGATTATATACCTAAATAACTAAATAATAAGTGAATGACTTTATTTTGGTATTTATAAAATATTTAGACGTATTATATGATCTGATTCTAACAGCTGAATTAAATACATTTAAATAACCACAATGATCTCTCCGAAGAACATAAAAATAAAAAACAGTCCATACATCTTTTTTATATTTTCACTGGAATATTTATTTCAATTTTGTGTTCCTTTAAGAGGGCGTCGCATCGCCCATTTTTAAGGAGTAAAGTATAGGCAATTTTTTTACAAAATCCTGATTTAAAGGTTAAACTGTGGTGTGTAATTATTAGTTCAATAACTAGGACTTTATTTTGGTAGTTAACTTATTTTTTGGACTATCACAGCATCCTTGAAAGCGATTTAAAAATGTTTTTTTCATCTCTACATGTTTAAGCAGACTGAAAATAACTCGCTTGATTTCGGTTCTAGTGTAAAAGCACCCATTATAAAATAAACCGTCTTTTACATTATTCCAAGTATAACGCTCAATACATAGTTTAGAAATAACTACTATTTTAACATTTCTAAACGACTGTAAATTTTCAAAAAATGATTTATTTTTAATAAATCTTCGGCACCGTCTTGCCCCCCCGGAATATTGTATTCTCTTTTAATTTTATAACGGGTGCTTTTACTCTGAAACCAAAATTAACCGAGTTATTATCAGTCCATGTTTTTACCACTGAAAATCACCAGTGCGACGCCCTCTTATAAGGGTACACCGCCAAGTTAAGGTATAAATGCCCAATCTAGATAACACATTATTCAAGACGTATGAGAAGTTGTTCCGTAATAATTGCCAACATAATTATTCGAATAAGAATATTATGAGTATATCAATATATTAATTGATATTTCAGGGATATCCGTGTGTTTAGCATTGGAATAAACGAAAGCTGCTGTTCGCGTACCCGATCGAGAGCTTTATAGAGTATGCTATGTAAAAATATTAACGTGTCGTCTCACGGATATTGGATGACCCCGTCGGGGGCCGTAACGCGTTCGTTTTGTGGACCTAAGCGTTATCTTTAAAGCGCATTCCACACGGTAAACACGGTGTCGAATAATGTTGTTTGAACAATATGCACGGCGCTGTTTGTTTTAAAACGGAAATCCGCCAAAGGTTAGGCTCGGTTGGGGGTAAGAAAATCGCGTTGGACCACTCGTGACGTCGAACGTCCGCTTTTTGTTTCGCATGTGTGTTTGTTTTCCTCCCGTCCAGAGTATATTATATAAATTTTGTTTGCCAATCGTAAAAGCTTTGGCCGGCGGTCCGCAAATATTTCACTTGATCTCCAAGAAGAATTCCGGAAATACCGAGCACATCAGCTCTCGAGTGGTCCCACTGTGTTTACTGTGAATATTCATACACGGCCTTTGGTCCGTTGCCAAAAGAGCTGTGGAAAATATTTTAAAAATCCCCCCCCTCCCCCCCCCCAAGAAAAACTCCCAACAAATTTAGGGTCACAAAGAGTGAGCGATATGTTTTGAATATTTAAGTGATTATTGACAAATTTCAAGCGTCAAGTTTGAACTCATTACTTTTGACTATGATATGATAATACAGGGTGATCTTTTTGTCGTAAGCCACTCTCAACGTCGTTCATAAGAAGTAATAAGAAATGTAACGCATACATTTCATTGACTTTTTTTAAATTAACCAAAAATGTACTCAAAATACAAAACCGATCGATAACCAGTTTTTTGGAGTTATTCGAGTTTAGGACAGGAAGAAAGGTCAGGTAGAGAGTATAGTATTATTTTTATCTGCGCGCACTTCCCAACCCGATTTTGCCTTCCGTTTTAAACTATTATGACTTTAACAATAATTGTACAAAACCGGTTATCAATCAGTCAAAATGTTTTGTAGATTATTGTCAATTAAAAAATTTAATGAAATATATGCGTTACTATTTAAGTTTCAAAAGTTGCTATCAAAATACAAAGTTGAAAGGTGATAAAACAAATTATTAAAATTGATATCACATTGTATAAATATAATATGAAAACAAAAAAAATGTAATTTCTCATTGAACCCTATGAGATATTGAGTGGTTCACAGTAAAATGATCTCACTGCATTATTGAACCATGAAATCTGAACTCTTTATGTTTCAACAAATACAAATTATGTAGGACTTGAATTAAAATCACAAACAAACATACAGGGTGTTCAAAAAATTCGAAAACGGGCAATTTTTAGAGCCGTTATTGATTTTTCTTCTTCAAATTTTGACTTTTTGATGTCGGCAGGTGTTATTTTAAGGCTTAAATCCAAAATCTTGTCTTAAGTAGTTTGCGCATGCGTGGTGTCGACTTTTAAAATTTAAACGGCAATCCCCACTTATTTTTTTTTTGATATTCTGTTAGATTATTAATATTTTTAAGAAAATTTGGTGAAATTTTGAATTTCTGCCAAGTAGTTTTCGTAGTGTTATCGCTCGAAAATGACAAATTTTGTCGATTTCACGCTTTTCGCGAGAGCCAAGCTCCCACTTCCAACATTATTAGGTTTAATAACATTATGTATTATAAACTATAGCATATTATTATTTAACATTAGTTCTTAAGTATTGTGTAAATTATGAAATTAATGCGATTTCTAAAAAAAATATTTAAAACAAAACCGTTTGTTTAAAACACTTCCGGACTGTGCTTTTTAGGCGCCACCGTGCGCCTACCCCGCTGTGCTGGTGTTCTTCGCCTTTTATTCGCAAAACGTCCGGATAATCGGTTTTAGCCCCTTTTTTTTGGGGACCTTTGGCGGAATAGGATTTACCTCCACCTCTCTGGCATTAACCGGTGTGATACGGCGGCCGTTGTTGCATATCATATTATTATAATACAGTCGACCGACGCCGGCGCTGCTCGGCCGGATGTACAGCGGGTCCTGGCTGTTGTTGGTTGCGCGCACCGCTGCCGGTCTCACACACCTCACGGCTATATTCTGCTGCTTCAGTCTGTTGTAGACAATGGTTACTGTCAGTTGTCCGTCGGCCTAGTCGTTGTTTGCATTGGAAGTCACGTGCTCCGACCGATTCGCGATACGCAATCCTTACCATACGACCACTAGTTCTGGTTATTTTTTTGGGAAAAAAAAAAAATCAGTTATTAATTTTCAAATCCGCTTTCCCCCCCAAAAAAAAAAAAAAAAACGTCCGTGCGTGAAGTTCCGTAGTACACCAGTTTGACGGCGGTATTATAAAAAAAACTTCCATAGTAACTTACAGCACTTACCATAATGGCCAAGCAACAGCGACGAAGTTTGGCCGCGCTAATCGGATTGGTCGTCTTGCAAGCGATCCTCTTCGCCTGTACAGGTATAATATTATATATTGTTATAAAATATATTACACATTTTAATAACCAACGATTAGGTATAATTATTCTACACGTTTTCCATTCAACACCCATTTTCACCAAAAAATAATATTACAGTTTTGTAGTTTTTCTTTTTGAAAATTGTTCTGCTTATGTTACCTTTACAATATGATAAAATTATTAAAACACAAGGTGACCCATCTGAGTGTTAAAAACATTTAGCAAAATATGTACCTGCAAGTATAGGGAAAAAACAAATTTTGAAAATGTTCAACTTAAAAAATAATTATAATCAAAACTGGCTTTCGACCAAAGTTGGTATTGCTCTGGAATAGATTACATTAAATTTAATATTGTCTATTTTTGTGAAACAACATTTGACTAAAATGTCTCCAAAAATAAAAACTACAAAATTGTAATTGTATTTTCTCGTGTCAAAACTGTTGTGTAAAAGTTTATAAAGAAAATTGCAAAAATTGCAAAAAATAACTCCTAAAAAAATTATTATTTATCACATTTTTCATTATTGCTTACATAATATTTATATCAGTGTGTTTGTTGATATTAACTGTGTGCATTGATTGATGATAGTTGTAAGGGTTGTGATTAATTTTTTTAACTGCTGTCCCAAATACTTCATTAATTTTGAATTTATCGATTTTTGGCTCTAGAACGTCTTAAACTTAAAAATTTGATAATATATTGTATAAAAGCTAATAATTATCCGTATGAAAAGTATTGGGGCAAAAAAACGGTAGTAATCTTTCAACTACTTGTCGATTTACACATAAAAAAATAACTGTGTTAACCAACGATAACATGTTTTACACCTTTCAAACTTAGGACGTCACATACTCGTATATGGAGTTTTTAGTTTTAAAAAGCTTTACCTGATTTTGTATGGCCAAATTAACTTAATGTATTTTTTGCAGTACTATAATAATTATACTACTATTATTATACTTACAAACACTGTAACAGTCAATTTATGGTTTAAAAAATATTAGTTTTTCATTAAAAATTCAATGGATCCGCGCCTTAATTATAATTATTATTATTATTAAAAAGTTCAAAAATACACAACAATAAATAATAGCTATACAGGTTGATCCATTTAACGCGAGACTCACATTTTAAGTTAATGTTATTTTACAGTATTAAACAATATTCAAATTTTTATACTTTTGGCAAATTGTTGAGATTTTTTTGATTTTTGAAACGTATAATTAGTAACGTATACAGTATTTAATTAACTTTTTACATTAAGAAGATCAAGCCGACATTTATGACTTATGGTCAGGTTTAAATAGTTTTTTTTTTAACTTTAACAGCTTGAAAAGTAATTATTTAAAAACTAATAAAAATTGTTGACAACTTGTTTTAATTTTAAAAAGTTAACTAACTATATAAGTAAAAACAGCTAGATAGAGCTCTGACAAATACTAAAGAAATTTAAATTTCTAGTAATTTCTTAATATTGTAAAATAATATATTGAACAAAAATGTATTTTTTCCTCCCCAAAGAGGTAGGCCCGTTTTTCACGGTTTCACAACTTCGTGTGTGTTTGGGTCAATATTTTTTTTTTTTTTTTGGATAGAATAACACTCAGTATACTTTTAAGAGCCATTGATTCCTGTCGGCAGTTAAATTTAATTACACGTTCAGGCTAAGTTGAAGTTACTAAAATATTTATTGTGCTTGACGTTAGTCCCGCCATACGGCTACGGTTGTCCATAAGCATTTGACTTACTTATTTGTATACTTACACTAAACTATAAATTATGTTGACTCATTTTTGTTGTTTTTCCATCGCCGACGCAATATTTACATTTTAAATACATTTTGCCCAATCGAATACAACAAACAATTATTTAAATAAACCAACCTTTTTTGGTCCGGCCACGAGGGCAAGATTTACACCGAGGCAGCCAGGGGGGAGATATAAATTTAGTCTGACATGGAGACAGTGTATAAAAAGGAACTAAACGTCAGTTAGTTTTAAAGCAGTGCCCGTCTGTGTATGTGTATACAAATCGATCATATGATATTGAGGAATTCCAGTCGAATGACTCCAATTGGAAATATTATTATAGGCATGAATGTATACTTTAATATAGCACACAGCCCACGCACGCGTGCACAATTTGTTGTTAAATCGACCAAAAAATGTTCACATAATATTATGAGAAATTTAATCTTCAAATCAAGTACTTTTAAAATAGTATGCTCCTTGTTGGACCGATTTGGACTCACTACTTTAAAAATCGGTCCGAATGTTTCATATCGAAAACGCTCACAGAAATATTGTCCGAACCACTTTGTTAACAGTCAACCATTATATAACTGCAATGGTTAAAAATCTTAAACACTTTTACTCATTTAGTTTTTTTTAGAGATTTTTGCTCTCTGTAAAAATGTCTAAAAAAATATTTGAAACGATCTTGATTCGTTTAAATTTTAAATTGTCTCAAGTTATGAAAACTAATGGGTTTTTGGGATTTTAGATTACTTTGAAAAAAACAAACTAACAACTTTTTCTATGAAAGTTATTTTGTTTGGACAACATTTTTTACACGTTTTGCCATTCATCTTAAAAATGGTTTGGACAATATAAATTATTTTTTGTTTATTAAGATTCAGTATTCCAGCTATCTTGACTTTACAAGAAGACTCATTTAACATTATTATAAAAAGATGTGGCAACTGCAAAATATAATTCAAGTTTTAACTTGGAAAATTATGACCTATTTTGTTGCTTAGTAAATGTATCTTTTAAATATGTCTCATACTTTGGTGTTGTATAAAAGAAAGTGTACCCTTTTCCACCCCTCCTCCAACTACTTTTCGGTCGACTTGTCACTTTTTTTCTTCTTCTCCAAATGAAAAAAAAAAAACCCTCCTGCGAGGTCTCTGGTCCTAATATTGTTTTCCGTACTATGCTGTCGCATCACCTGTTGCGTTTTCCTCATTTCGTTTTCGCTTTCATACATTGTTATGTAAAATATTTAATATCAACGGTGCATAAACAGCTGGGCACAGCTGCATGACTCGACACCTTGTATTGCCAGTGTCTAAAATAAACAAAACAGCATTTGTAAGTTACACTTATTAGTAGGTGTAAATGTACTTAGGCGAACAGTCCTAGACGCGTTTATTGTTGTTAGTCTTTTAAAACTTAATGTCGGAATTCAATAAGACATTCGATATTTTTTAATAAGCTGTACACTGTGACACTCCGAGGAAAATGAAAATGTATCAGTCATAAATTAATTTAGGGGGGGGGGAGGGAAAACGGTAATGTAGTCAGAACTCTGACTAGCTCACTCTTGACAATAACAGCATGTGTTAAGAGCGTGAACAAACTACTGTTATCCCGTTGATGGTGGAAATTGTATTTTGAAATAATCATCTTCACATTAATATCATACAAATATGTAGAGTTGTCTGAAAAGTTTAAATTCGTAGCTTCCATATTGTCGTCGACACGTTTACAGCGAGTTATTATTACACAGACATCTTTCACGTCGTATGACATGGCGAACGGTTGATTAATACTTTTGAAATGTGTATATACTATATAATACATAATATTATTACCGAGACGTTAAAAGAGAACCGTTTGTTTTACTCAAATTGCTGGGTCAAAGTTTAGTGGTCGACTACTATTATTTTAACACCTTTGAAAACGCACAAATATGAATTTAATGCTGTTAAGCTATAAAAAATTTATCATTTAAGGAAAGATAATATGCAAGTTTCACATATTGTCCAATGTTTAATTATAATAATAATAAATTAGAAATTAAGGGAAAAAAAAAAACTAAAAAATTATTAACAGTTAACTTAACAATAACTACAATATAACGTGTACAATGAAAATGTACAAATTATATCAAATTTCCCTATTGTTTTAATTTAACAGATTGTTAAAAAAAAAATAATAATAATATGTTGTTACCTCCCCCTCCTCGACATTTTACCTTTTTTTTTTTGTTAACACATTAACCCAAACTTGAAATTAAATTTAAATTAGTTTATTTCATAAGTTTCCCAATTTTACATTTATTTTTGAATTTGTCGATTGTGTTTTATGGCGCTTAAAATAGTATATTCCCAAAATATTGTACTTATTAGGATAAGGTTAGGTTAGGATAACTTTATCTATACTCAAAATATATACTGTACATACTATGTATATTATACTGAATTAGATAGAATTTATTACTTTAACATAAATAAAATAATATTTGTATATAATATAAATGTAAAACAAATAAAACAATACAACCATACTATATGTAACCTCACCTAAGCTAACCTAACATACTGTTACATAACATTTTCAGTAATAGCAGCAAGGAAATAAACCGTTTTCGATCGGTTGAAACACATTTAATTTCTGTTCCACCACCTTGTTCATATTTTATTTAGGAAAAACAGCAAGTCTGCCGGTTGTATATGTCTAAAAATTTGAAGAAAAAAAAAATGTTTTTAATGCAAAGAGAAAATGTGTTTTTATGTTCAGCATAATATTTAATCGGAACGTTTGTGTTTAGCAGAAAACAATTTTTTGCGTTTTCCCAATATTTTTTTATTTTTTTTACTCACATTCTCTTTGTGGAATAAACGTTTCAATTGATCTCTGTGTAAACGAACATTTTCCTCGTTTAAATAACATTATTTTTTAACGCTACTGTGCCCGCCACTGTGAAAACATTATAATATAGTGCCAATTATAATGCCCGTCAAATGCACACGTTCTCGAAACCCATAAGAATATTCTGAAAATTACTTCTCGGTCGTGTGTAAGAACTTATGTACAGCGTTTGTCGTCGTCGACAATAATTATTTGGCGAACATATTCAAACATTTTTCCCGGCTAATTATATACATTCGGCGAAATGTCTATGCGAATGAAACGATTTCGATTAAAACGCGATTCGCAAAGCCGCCTGTGTTCACACATCCAGTTGGGACGTGATGACCTATATTGTCGGC